GTCACTTGTTGTCAGGGTTATCATGTTTTATGCATGCTGACAACAAAGGGTGTATTCTTATTTGTGATAAACCTTAAGTTTGGTTGGTTCATAATAGAAGAGGGGTGAGGCACATTTTCTTTGTGCATTTACATTTGCAGAAGCACGAGGACCCATTTAAAGCCCAATCTCGTCCAAACTAGCCATTCAGCGTTTCCTTATTTGTATTTTGTGTCAAGAACCACATGCACATTAGAAAAGAGCAACGGCATGTATATCAGTTCATGCATGTTTTGTCCTCTGTTAATGTGTACCAGTTTGTGCAGTTTTTTTTATGCAAAAACATGATTTAGTATACTTTACAAGTAAGATAGTTTAAAAAGAAAAATTATTTTAATAAAATCACAATGGATATTTATTCCGTTATATAATGAAAATGAAAGATATGTACTACGTGTTTGAAATAGGTCCAAAAATATTATCAGATGTCCATGTGAACACTTTTTTCTTTAAGCACATTTTTTTTAGATGTATTCAAACGAAATCGTATGTTGTTTTAAATAAGAATTTAAACAGATTTCAGTTTATTTTATATTCAAGAAAATGGTTTACTTAATAATATATTTATAATTGAACACTTAATTTACGTTTTTTGTTAAATTTCAGATTTTTATCAAAATGTCAACAAGCGGCACAGAAAAACATTGCAGACTGTGTCTCATGCTTAGTAAAGGTGGGACAAAAGCATGTCATAATCTTCTATTAAAGCGCGTGGATGAGCTTAAACCAAAAGACTTTCAACCAAACGCATGGACACTCAAAACATTTTTGGAAAAGTAAAAAACAAATTATAATTAAGTCAAAGCTTTCAAAAGAGAAGCGGAAAGTCCTTTTCCCTAAAAACCGGCGAAACAGTTCTTTCAAACTGGGATTTATCACTTTTCTGTCAAGTCCTTTCTTCATACTGTGGTTTGACTGGTATAGATCTTTTGGACATAAAACAATTACGAACAATACGGAATGATCTCTGTCACATGAAACGACGCGGAAATCTCAAAATACCGAATTTAAAAAAAAAATTGAAATGATACAAGTAATCATTGGTAGAATCTTAGAGAAACTCGACGACAAAGATTTGAAGCTAGAGGGTAGAACAATATTATCAAGAATTTAGAAAGTGAACCTCTTTCACTTGGCGAAACGCTTAAAGAGATGCGTAAGTTTTACTTGATGGAAATGGAAGTCCGTGAAAAGTTAGACCATGGTATGTACCTTTTATAGATTAAATACTGCATATATTGTACCACTGTACCTAAACCTTATTTACTGGTTAAAATCTTTAAAGTGTTTTATAGTGATGAACATATTTATACACTGCCATTTGGAATAATGCGATTCTTTTCGCATTATTTTCTAAAATAAATTCTGAAACCGATAACACATTGAATTTCATGCATTTGTGTCAACGTATCTTATTGTTTTTACAGTTGAAGAAATACTTTTAGAAAAGTTTGAGAAACTAGACGACAAGTGTGAACTCATAAATAGTAAGCTCGACCCAAGGGGAAGTTCTGGAATCGATTCAGCTAGGAACAATGTTCTTGTTCCCGGTAAAGATCATTTTTATACATTTATTTAGTCTCTTTCTTTGCGATAGATTTATGAGTATCATCTGTAGAGATTACAATGTATGAATTCTGTATAGACAAATATTTATAAATTTATCTCCTTATTAATACAAATTACTTGATTATATGTTGGTTTTTAAGTGCATCTATTTTGCTTTTTCTGATAATGAAAATCAATATATCAAAGTAAAACACTTACTTTTTACAAACTTAATACGTGAACAATATTGATGCCATAGGGCAACACGAATAACGCATTTCATGTTATATGTGTGCCATCATTACCTATTAATTTATATCTAAATTTATTAAATTTTTGTACCATAAATGCTCCTATACTTTATTTCTTGCTACAGGAGTTAGCATTTTTCTTGATTTGAAAAAATGTCAGTAATGACGAAGAAGCACATATGTCTGATGTTTTACAACATTTGTTTGAAAGGTATGAATAGGAAAATTTGACTTAAAAAATCCAGCTTTCCCCCTTCAATTAAATTTTGGTAGGCAAAGGGAGCGGCAGTAAATAAAAATTTGCTTTTCTTTAAAAAAGGATGGAAAAATATAAGCGTTTGTTCATGAATGAAATAAAACCCAAACATAAAAGATGTAGTAATTTTAAATCGTTTGGGCCGCCCTTTTTTTGGGGGAAACATTAATGGAAAAAATAAACCCCAAATCTATCAAATTTAAATGAACCCTTTAAAACCCAATTTGGGGCAGTGGTGGGAACCATGTTTTTCAGACTACTTTTTATAGAGACGAGTTTTGGAATTTTTTGGGTTTAAAATCAAGTAAAAAAATTTGGTTAAATTATGACAATATACATTTAGCGTTCCTTATGCTTTTTTTTTTTTTATAGTACATTTTTATATTGAAAACGTTTCCCAATTTTACTGCGTTTGAGAATAAATTTTGATTGTTTAAATTTCTGTAAAATGCCTGGATTCTACCTGGGTGTAGCTTTGCCAATTTTGATTGTTAAAAAAAAACTAAAATAAATTGTGCAGAACTCCAACTCAAGCTGCCGATTATTGTATCATTAAATTAAATAAAGTCATCATTGTTTTGTAATTAAACCCGGGAATTTTTTGAGATTTTCCGCAATTATAGCGTAAGGGGAAATTCCCGCCCCTTAAACATTCAAGGCTTTTGTTTATATTCGAATAAAATATGCGGTTACCAGTTATTATTGCAAATTTACAATTAATTTTATCTGTATTAGAACAATTTTGTTTGAATTTGTGCTTAAAAGCTACTTTCTCCTGTTAATATTTTTTAGTCTCATCTGTCGATAGACTTTTATCGGAAACTCAAAACAATTGATAACGTTCAAACCACTTAATGAGGGCAGGAGGTTTACATTATCATTTTCAGCTCGGAACGCAAAATCTGAAAGAAGCGAATCTTTCTATGAAGACTGCAACAACGAGCTTCATACTTGTCTACAACTACTGAAAACAGAACTTGAATCAGAATTCAGTACCCCGCATTTATCGATTCAAGCAAGTTGCTCGACAAATGTGAATCGTGAAACGGATGGTTAGTATTAGTTTGTAATTTTAGCCCCACTTTACAAAAGTAAAAAAAATCGAGTTATTTCTACACTCATGAGGTTTTTTTTTTCATTTCGTTACCGATTGTCTTCTTTTTTGACAAAACACTTCTTTGGTCAAGTACTTTAAGTAGACCAGAATGAACTTGACCTTGAACCAAACAAGGGATTTGACTTAACAGGTTAATCTTTAAAACTCTATTTAATTATACTTGGCTATATTTATTTACGACTTGGTTGATTTCTTACTTGGACTTAACCGTCCTTAGGACAAGTCTTTCATCGACAGTGACCTTTGATGATCAAATTTTGAATTTTGCTTAATGTTTGCTGTTTCTGGCAAAAACTTATGAATGGATTTTTTTTACAAAACTACATTTAGGACTATCAAAAATCAATTTGGCATTAAGTCATGAAAAGCCCTAAAGGTTAAATCATGGTATTTTTACCATTATTTGTTATAACTTTTTAGGTAATAAATTTAATTTCTTCATATTTGGGCAAAATTCAATAATGCATAGGACAAAACACTCATCATTATGTAATTGAAATTTACCTCGACCATTATTTGACATTGGCATTATATGACAAATTTGCAAACATTTGCTTAAACGTTTTTTTAATATAAACTAGAAAAATAAACACTTATGACGAAACCAATATGTTGATGAATTCAAATATGACCTTGACCTTTGGATGTAAAATACTTGACATTTGCTTCAATTGTAATGATGGCAAATGTGAATAATTGTTGTACCCAAAACAACTTAAAAAACTATTGAAATTTGCTTAAATTGTCATATCATTTTTTTATTATGTATTTATAGTTTTGCTTTATACTTAAATTTGGATAGATTTGACACTTATGATAAACCCGTCATGTTGACTACTTTCAATATGACCTTAAACTTCAAATTATCGTGGTCGAATGTAGAGGTCAAACTTATAAGTGGTCATTACCTTGTTTATGTATTTGACTCGTTCTTAGACAAAATGACTCTTAAGGCACAGCAGTGTTAAATAACTCAAATAAAAGTATCTTAAAATGACTATGACCGTCAAGGTCAAACTATTTTTTTTCCTTTTAAATTTTGAATGTTTATTTTTGACAAAAAAAAAAAACGGTTTTTTCCAAAACTGAAACTAATTTTTTGATCGTCATTTGGGCAAAATTTTAATTGTGCTTAAAAATCCCCTTTTTTATATATAAAATTTTATCTTTTTTAAAGTACAGAACAACGCCTACGACAACATCGATATGTTAATAACAGTATTGATTTTATGTGTGTCCCTTATCTGTTAATGGCATTGACTGTCTGTGCCAAACATGAAATTAATCAAATTTTATTCAAGAAAGATGTTTTTGGAGAATTCTGGAACACAAAATTCTTTTTTGGTTTGTTTGTCTTTAAAAAATAAGAAAAAGTGACAAATTTAACAGGACGTTAGCTATTTGTGATTTTATAATGTTCATTTGAAACAAAAATATATAGGATTAATAAATTATTCGTTTTTTGGTTTGAACTGTTACATTTTTACACGGTGCACGTGACAGTCAATAAAAATGAAATGATAAAGAATATGATTTCCTTATATAATGATACGACACATTCCGAATTGAGGTTTTAGTAGTTAAAGCATAATGCTTGTTATAAAATAGATACGTTTACCGATGATGAGGTAGAAGAAAAGGAAATCAGTTATAGTGTTAAAGATGAAGAAGAGAAATGTCACAAGACAGCGATCAAGCGACGTTTTTTAGAAGATATTGATTCAACGAAAGGGGCACAAGAAAAAGAAAAAATATCACAACAAAAAAGAGAGATAAAATACGGAACAAGATGATTGGCATGATCAAACAATGTTTTTCTCCGGTGAGTACATCAACATATTCAAAGGAAGATAGTACAGCTTTTGTAAGTAGCCCAGCTAATAAACTGGTGTTTTCAAGTTTTTGTAAGTAGGCAAGCAGACATAATAAACTTATATCAATATTATTTTCATTTTAGTTAAAACATCTCTCTTGCTTAAAATCACATTTATGCAAATCCTGCTAATGGGGAAACTAGGAAAATTTCCTTTTTAAAACGAAAAATTAAAGTAAGTGCATTAAATTACATTTTAAAATAAACTTTTATACAAAAGAAACAAAAAAAGGGTTTTCCCAAAAAACCCAAAAAATCGTATTAAAAAAAAAATGAAAAATATATAAATCAAAAAAAAGAAAATTTTACTGGGTTTTTTTCCATGACAAAATCTATCCCCAAGTTTAAAAAAAACAGTAAACTATTATTTTCCCCAAAAATTTACCTAACTTTTGGGGTCTGAAATTTTTGCAATTTTTTTATGTTGTATTATTGTGGCCCGTTTAAAAAATAGCCCAAAAACGAGAAAAAGAAAGAAAGAGTTTCCGGAAAAGAAAACATATTTTATTTTTTATTTTTTGTCACGCCCGATTTTCATTTTTGTGGTTATATCGTGAAGTGGACCATTAACAGTGACAACAAAACCTAATAGAGGAGAGGAGGAGGAGGGGGAGGGGAGGGGAGGGAGGGAGGGAGGGAGGGGAAAGGGGAGGGGAGGGGAGGGGAGGGGAGGGGAGGGGGGGAAGGGGAGGGAAGGGGAAGGGTTGAGGGGGGGGGAGGGGAGGGGAAAAGGGGAGGGAAGGGGAGGGGGAGAGGAGAAAGGAAGAAGGAGAAGGAGAGGAGAGGAAGGAAGGAGAGGAGAGGAGAGGAAGAGGAGAGGAGGAGAGGAGAGGAGAGGAGAGGGAGGAGAGGAGAGGAAGGAAGGAGAGGAGAGGAAAGAGGAGAAAGGGAGGGGGAAGGGGAAAGGGAAGGAGAGGAAGGAGAAGGAGAGGAGGAAGGAAGGAAGAAGAAGGGGAGGAGAGGAGAGGAAGAGGAGAGAGAAGGGAGAGGAGAGGAAGAAAGGGAAAAGGAACGGACCCGGGGGAGGGGAGGGGAGGGGAGGGGAAGGGGGAGGGGAGGGGAAAGGGGGGGGGGGAGGGAGGGGAGAGGGAGGAGAAAACAAGTTAAAAACTGCTTATTAATAACCGGGGCTAGGGGGGGGTGGGCCTACCTTTTTCATTTCCAGTTAAAACCCTTTCCCTGAAAAGGGGTTTAAACAAAAAACCCAGCCTGCAAAAATTTTTTAATTTTTCCTTTTTGGACTTTCTTTTTGGGGTTTTTGTTTTTTTCTAGTTCAAAAATATTTAGCTAGTTTAAAAAAATTTTAAATTCATGTTAAAAATTTTTTAGAACATTTTCAAAATCAAGTTTTTTTAAACCCTTTCCCCCTGTGGCCTTTAATAAAAATGGCAACCGGGGGATGGGGTTTTGCACATTGGGCCCCGTTTGGGGGGGAAAAAAATTTTGTCAAGTTTTTAAGAAATTCCTTTTTCCCCTTGTATAAAATGTATAGAGCCCACACAAAATATTTTCTAGAAAAAGAAATTTTAAGTAAAAATTTTAAAAACTTAAAAAAGGGGGAAAAAACTTTTCAAAATTTCAATTCAGGTTATGGGAAAATTTTACCTGTAAAATCTTTAAATTGTAAAACCAAAATATGTTTTTTTAAAATTTCAATTTAAATATTTGTGCTAGTTTTTAGAAATATTCAGGGAATGTTAAAATTTAAAAACATTTTTTTTTAAAAAAAGGGGCATTTTTGACCTTCAAAGGTTAAACCCTTTATTAAAAAAACACCAAAAGGCCCAAAATAAAATTCTGCAAAAAACCTTGGGTTAGGTGAACCCTTTTTTAGAAAAGTTTTTAAAAAAAATTCCCTTTCCCTTTGGGATAGGATTGGTTTAAACGGCCCAAAACCCTATTGTCCCAATATTTATTTTTATGTAAAATTTGGGAAAACTTTAAAAAGGGGAATTTAAATTTGGGCACAATTTCAAAACCCGAGTTATTTAAACTTTTACCTGCATAAACTTCTTTTTTGACGCTAAATAAATTAAAATTTCAAGCAAAACCCTTTTTTAGTTTTAGAAATAAATTTAAATACTTTTTTAACATTTAAGAATATTTTTTTACTCAATTTTTTTCCTTCAAGTGTGACCTTGAAACCCTTAAAAACCGGCAAAAAGGTAAAATGGGTTCTGCACCCCCTCTGTTTAGAAGAATATTTGAAACCAAAATTTAAAAAAATCGTTCAAAGTGTTGGATATAACAGAGCGGAACGAACCCTCTGACCCTTAATTTTATTGTTTTTAAAAATTGACAATTTAATTGGAATTGACCTTGAGCTGACAATTTCGCAAACCTGGGTTTCCGGGAAAATCCCTTTTTTTGAGGAGAAATTAGCCAAGTTTTTAAAAAAAACTTTTTAATAAGTGTAAAAAATTTCAGAGCGGACAAAAAATATATTGTCTAATTTTTGAGTGTTTGACATTTGACCTTCAATTGTGAACCTTGACCTTTAGCTTACACATGGGGAAAAATATTTTTGCACATCAGCTTTTTTGATGTGAAATTTTTAAATTTGAAGAAAACCCTCAATTAGTGTAAGGGCTTAAAAGCGCCAAACGGTAATGGAGACGGAAAGGGGGGCCCAACCCAAAACGAATCCCTTATAGGGTTATAGCCCCCCCCCCCCCCCACACCCACATTTTTTGAAGGGGGGAAAAAAAAAATGCATGTCCCCCAAACGGAAAACAAAAGGGCGAACTAAAAAAAAATGGAAATTTTGGGAAAGGGGGGTGAAATTTTTGAAGCCGCAATCAATATTTACGTCAAAAAACAG